CATGGGTTGCAAAAATTAATATTTGTTAAATGTCCACACTACCCAAAGTGAAATAGAAAAAAACAATCCTAAAATTTATATGGCACCAAAATGGCCCTGAATAGCTAAAATCATCCTGAGCAAAAAGAACTAAGCTAGAGATATCACACTACTCAACCTCAAAATATACCACAAGGTTATAGAAACCAAAAGCATGGTATGGGCATAAAAACAGACCAATGAAACAGAATAAGGAAGCAAGAAATATATCCACATATTTACAGCCAATTGATTTTTGGTTCCAAGTACATACATTGGCAAAAGGACACCCTCTTCAATACATGGTGCTGAAAAAACTGGATATACATATGCAACAATATCAAAAACACATATGGAGCTCCAACAACTCAGAAAAAAGAAAGTAAATAATCCAATTCAAAAATAGGCAAAAATATGCATATATCTTACCATACGTAAAAATCACCTCAAAATATAGACAAAAATTTAAGATTAGAGACTATAAAATTACTAGAAGAAAACATAGGGGAAACATTTCAGGACACTGGTCTAGGCAAAGATCATATGACTAAGACCTCAAAACACAGACAAAAAGGCCTCTGTACAAACAGAATTGTAGACAACCTACAGAATGGTAGAAAATATTTGGAAACCATACATACAACAATATCAAAAACACATGTGGAATTCCAACAACACAGGAAAAAAAACAAATAACCCAATTCAAAAATCGACAAAATACCTGAATGAACACTTCTCAAAAGAAGACACATAAATGGCCAAAAAGTATATGAAAAACTACTCAGCCTCACTAATCATCAGGTAAATGCAAATTAAAACTACAATGAGATATCACCTCACCCCAGTGAGAGTGGCCATTATCAAAAAGGCAAAAGATAAATGCTATCAAAGATGTGGAGCAAAGGGAGACCTTACACACCCTTGGTGGACATTTAAATTAGTGCATCCACTATGGAAAACAGTATGGAGATCCCTCATAAAATTAAAGATAGAACTACCATATGATCCAGCAATCCCACTATCCAAAGGAATGTAAATCCTTATGTCAAAAAGTTATTTTCACTTCTATGTTTACTGCAGCACTATTAACAATAGCCAAGATATGCAGTTAACCTAAGTGTGGATCAACTGATGAGTGGATAAAGAAAATATTGTATATACACAATGAAATACTATTTAGCCATTTAAAAAACGAAATCCTATCATTTGTAATAACGTGGATGAATCTGTAGGACATTATATTAAGTGAAATAAGCCAAGCACAGTAAAACAAATGCCATATGATTCACTCATATGTGGAATAAAAAAAAAGTTATCTCATAGAGGTAAGAGCAGAATGGTACTTATCAGAAGCTGGACTGGTTACCAGGGAGGAGGGATGGGGAGATGTTGACCACAGAAGTACAGTTATATAAGAGGAATAAATTCCAAAGGATTTACTGTACAACAAGGTAAGGTAACTATAGTTAATGATATATTTTATTCTTGAAAAAAGTAGAGGGTAGATGCTATGTGCGCTCACCACCAAAATGATAAATATGTGAGATAATACATTTGTTAATTAGCTAGATTTAACCATTCTACAATTCACTCCAATACTTCAAAACATCCAATAAAAGCATACATTGTTATCCACCAATTTTTAAAAACATATAAAATGTATATTTTTTTAAAAAATCACATTTCTATACACCAATAATAAACAGAAACCCAAATAAAAAGCACAATTCATTCACAATAGCCACAAAAAAGTGAAATACCTTGGCATTTTCCTAACCAGAGATGTGAAAGACCTTTACAATGAAAACAACAAAACACTGCTCAAAGATATCAGAAATGACACAGACAAGTGGAAAAATATTCCATGCTCATGTTGTTGGAATAATTAACATTGTTAAGATATCCATTTTACCTAAGGCAATCTACAGATTTAACACAATACCCATCAAATTACCAGCAACATTCTTCTCAGACCTAGAAAAAACAATACAGGAATTCATAGGGAAATATAAATTACCACAAACAGTCAAAAAAATACTCAGCAAAAAAACAAACAACAACAACAAAAAAAAAGCAGGAGGCATCACACTCCCAGACTTTAAACTTTATTAGAAAGCTACAATAATCAAAACAATCTGGTATTGGTACAAGAACAGGCATATAGACCAATGGAATAGAATTGAGATTCCAGATGCAAAACCTCAATTTCTCAACCAACTAGTCTTGTACAAAGCCTCCACCACCCACTACTGGGGAGAGGAGAGCCTATTCAGTAAATGGTGCTGGGAAGACTGAACACATACAGAAGATTGAAACAGGACCCCTACCTACCCCCATACACAAAAATTAACTAAATGGATCACAGGCCTAAATGTAAAACCTCAAACTGTAAGAACCTTAGAAAATGCAGGAGACACCCCCCTCCCCTTTTTTTTTTTGAGTTGGAGTCTCACTCTGTCACCCAGACTGGAGTGCAGTGGCCGCTCCTGGCCACCACAGCCTCGACCTGCTGGGCTCCAGCGGCCCTTCCGCCTCAGCATTCCAAGTAACTGGAACTACAGGTGCATGCTACAATGTCCAGCTAATTTTTGATTTATTGTAGAGATGAGGTCTCACCAAGTTGCCCGGGTGGGTCTTGAACCCACAGGCTCAGGCAATCCACTCACCTCAGTCTCCCAAAGTGCAGGATTATAGGCTGAGCCACCGAACCTGGCTAGGAGACACTCTTATGGAAGCTGGAACTGGCAACCAATTCCTGATCAAAACCTGAAGTGCACAGGCCATAAGAGAAAAGATAGACAAGTGGACCCTCATTAAACTGACAAACTTCTGCAAAACCAAAGAAACTATCAAGAGAACAGGGAGATAGCCCACAGACTGCAAAAAAATATTTGCCAATTGCATATCTGACAAAGGCCTACCATCAAGGATCTACAAGGAACTCAAACATGCTGAAAAGAAAATAACAAACAGACCCCATTAAAAAGTGAGCAAAAGATATGAATAGACATGACTCAAAAGAAGACATATGAGCAGCCGACATATACATGAAAATATATTCAGCCTCACTAGTCATCAAGGAGATGCAAATTAAAACTACACTGAGATACCACCTAACTCCAGTCAGAATGGCCATCATCAATAACTGAAAAAATAACAGATGTTTGAGATGATGTGGCAAAAAGGGAACACTTCTACACTGTTGGTGGGAGTGTAAACTAGTACAGCCTCTGTGAAAGTCAGTGTGGCAATCCTAACAGTTCTAAAAATCAACCTTCCATATGACCCCACAATTCCCCGATTGTGATTATACCCAGAAGAACTCAAATCACTCTATGAAAAAGATACCTGCACACATATGTTTATTGCAGCATTGTTCACAATAGCAAGAACATGGAACCAACCGTGCTGCCAATCAAAAGAAGACTGGATAAAAAAATGTGGTACATATACACAATGGAATATTAAGCAGCCATAAAGAAGAACAAAATCATGAACTTTGCAGCAACCTGAATGGAATTAGAGTTTATAGTACTGAGTGAACTCTCACAGAAACAAAGAACTGGTATCACATGTTCTCACTCATAAGTGGACCTTGAACAACTACCATAATACTATAGGAAAAGGATTGACAGTAGCGAGAAACTGCGGGGAGGAGGATGCGGGGAGGGGAGGAGGGCGAGAGATGGGATTGATACTAGTCAATATCTGCCTGGGGACGGGGGGTACACCTCATCAACAAGGGTACCAGCACAATGAATATTTGTATACCTAACCCTTAATTGTACCCCACAATTTTAAAATAAAAATTGAAAGAGGAAAACAATTAAAAATAAAATAAACATTTTTTAAATGTTGTTTAATTTTTTTGAATTAAAAAAGTAACCTCTTCTCCCCCAAAATTTTAAGAATACAGTCTGATTTTCCAAAAGTAGGTAAAAAATTAAGTTACTTTTGCTATATTGGAGAACACACCTAAGCAAACAGAATTTCCTGCATTTGCAGTGTTTGAATAAAACATTTAAAATCTATTATATGCAGAATCAAATCTGCACTATACATTTCTGCAATTTTACGCACAGTCAGTTGTTTAGTTTAATCAGAATAGACTATATCATCTAAAGAGGACTGAGGGGAAAGTAAGGCTTTCTCTTCCAAAAGAAAGACACTTTTACTGCAGTTTTTGAAGGAGATATGTGGATAGTATGCCTAAAGGGAAAAGACTAGAGAAAGCAGGGAGAAAGCAAAGCTATGATTCTGTAAAATATGTTTAAAAAGGTAGTCAAATAGTAGTGCCCTTTGACATACTACCAGCAAGAAGAAAGGCCCTTCCATTCTCAGCTAAGCCCCAGTTCCAGGGTGTACTGGCTTCATTCAATTACCCCTGCAATTTCAGTTTACTCTTCCTTTATTTTATTTTTACATCACTTTAGTCCTATTATTGTAAAAATATATGAAGCTTATATTTAGCTTTATGTTACAATCAGGACAACATAATTTAATTTACTCAAGAATTACTTTACTGTCACAAATCCTAAACCTAGGAAGAAACTATTACACACACTAAGCTATACTGGCAACATATGAAAACTATGAATGATGTCATCCAAGAAGGAAAGAATACAAAACAAAAGAAAAACAGAAAGCAGCTTCCCAATAGTCACACAATCTTAACTCGTGAGCTTGAGGACACCATGGTCTGCGGTCTTCAGGTCTTGAAGTCACTTGTGCAGATACCTTGTGGGCTGGACAGCATCAGCTCGAGGAAAGCCTTATACCTCCCCATCTCTCCTGCTCCTGAGCTGATATCTTGTTCTTCAGCTGCCACAAAGTCATTGCTTCTTTTTCTTTCATAAAATGAGATGGTAAGAGTAGCCCTGCTCACCTCTCAGCACTGATGTGAAATTGACACTGAGAAAACATAGATGAAAACATGTTTGGGAGTCAAAGATCTCTGACCAAGCTGCCACCTCAGAGTGAGTTCAGTCCCGTATATTTAAAACAAAAGCAGTGTTGTGTGATTTCCCCAGGTCTGAAGTAAGGAAGATAGGCTTGCCTCCGTTGGAGGTGGCAATGAACCAGCCAGGGAAGGCCACGGACTCGAGAGTGGAGGTCCTACCCGTCTTAGCCCGGTAAAAAAGGAAGGGCTTCACAGGCTTGTCTTGGTCAGTCAGTTCCTTGATATTCTGTCCCTGAAATGTGAGAAAGAATACCCGTGAGAAGAAATATAAACTGTTTGAGATATTTGAAGTTTTTTGCATATGACCAATAAATGTTGCAAACTTCCAGACAACCTTATTCATCTATTCGAGCAGGTCTAGAAAAACATATTTCAAGGGAGCAGCAGAATGAGTATACACAAAATTTCACCTTCCAAGCTTTCATCCTCAAATTCAGAGATGACATAGGAAAGATATAAGATACAGTTTGATGAACAAGTAGCCACATATTTTAAACAATGAATTTAAATTCTCCTTATACAAGAGGCTGAGGGAATCCCCTAGGAAAAGAAAGAAAATGCAGATTCACAGCAGTAATTCAAAAATGTCTCTTATCAATGCCACAACAGTGAAAGCCACCACCATGTAGGAACCATTGCTATGGAAAAGAAAGGCCAGGTTGGGATATGTCTCCAACTAATTGCTAAACTTATGAGAAAGAGCAAACCATGGAAAAAGACACAATGGAATCTAACAAATCAAAGAATTTAACCAAAGGGACAAAGTAAATAGATCAATCAGAAATGCCACATCTTATTGTATATAAAAGTATATTTTATGTGTGATTTTATATGTATGTTTGTATGTGCATAGATTATATATTTGGGTAAAATAAGTATTTCTTTAAAAATTACATATGTACAAGATCTCAAGAGAAATACGAAAAATGGCTTTTAATTCAGTCACATTCTACACTGAGTTGAGAATTATTCTTCTAAAGGATTCCTTTATTCAAATAATGACTTCTAGTTAATCTATCTGACTCTTTGGGTGGCCAGAAATCAAAGAATCATTCTTGATACTCCTTTCTTTGATCTCCAAACACCTAACTCAGCAGCAAGGCCTATGGACTCTATTTCCAAAATAGTTCCCAAATTGAGTCACTTCTCACACCCCACATGAACACTGTCAATTCAATTCAGAACCATCACCATCTCTCACCTAGACAATTAGGGTATTCTCTTTGAACTGTTAACTGTTCTCCTCGAACCTACTCTATACCCTCTAACCATTCTCCACAAAGCAGTTAAGTGAACTTTAAACAGAAGTAAATAAATAAGAGCATGCTACCATTTTGTATGATTTTCTATTGTCATTACAATGAAATCCAAACTCCTTAGCAAAGCCTGGAGAGTCTGCACCCTTCTCTTGTCTTCCTTGCTTCCCTTACTTCTTAACACTCTCCTGCAGTCTGCCTTGGCCACATCTGTCTTATTCCTTGCCCTCAAAGACACCAAGCTGTTCCTGACAAGGGTGCTGGCACTTGCTCTCACTCCACTCCCGCACATCTTCCCATGGCTGGCATTCCCCCATTACTCAGATCTCATCTCATGTCTTCTCCCTGGGGAGAACTTCCTTAAATATCTCCACCAAAGTAGGGTTCAGATCCCCTCTTCCACCCATCACTATCTCATTCCTGGGTTATTTTCTTCATTAGTAGCAATCATTATCTAAAGTTAGCATATGTATCTATCAATCACAGAATTGTCAGACTTGTTCATTTATCACCATATTACTTGACATATAGGAAAGCCTTGGCACATTACTTAGTAGAGATTTGCTGTTTAATAAATGAAAGAGTGTGTTCTCATTTCAAACTCCCATACCTCCTCCTGCATCCTCACCTTCAATTTCCTGCACCCTGAGAAAACTGAGGAAATTAGAAGAGGATTTCCACAAATCACCCCATATCATGGGTCCCCAGCACACTGCATTCACACTCATGCCTCCCTGGCTGAGGACTGAACAACAGGTCCCATCTGCACTCGCAACTTAAGGACTTTCTTCTAGCCATTCTCCCTGCTCTCTGGTGCACTATCATTTTTGCTACCTCTTCTCCATCATCAGCATCTCTACTGTCATTTCTATTATCTTAAAAACATAACTATTTTACCCACCACCACTGCTAGTTCCCCTTAGCAGAAAACTCCTTGCTATAGCTGTCTATATCTGCTATTTGAGTTTTCTCTTCAATTCCTCTCTTTAAATTTACTCCTCCCAGGCTTTTAAACCCACCACTGTACTTACACTTCCCCCACCAAGGTCCTCAGTGACCCACACATTGTCAAATACAATAGTCAAGTCTTCGTCCCCATTTGAGAAAAAAAAGCACAATAGAAAGGTGACTTACTGACAGGACATAGCAAAAAAAAAAAAGAACGTCATTCTCAATCCTCATCTTACTGTTCACACTCACTCAGTCAGCAAATCCTGTTGCTTCCACTTAAAATACTTCCAGAATCTGACCCACTTCTCATCACCACCATTGTGAATTCCTGGCCTATCAAATCACACCGAGATTACCCCCAAAACTTCCTGTAGTAATTTTATCCCTTCCACACGATCTGCGATCAGTTAGGAGCCAGAGTGGTCTTTCTTAGACTTAAGTCCATTTGCATCACTCTTCTGTTCAAAACATTCTAAGAGGTTCCCATTTTCACTGAGATTGCGAGGCAAGTCCTTACAAAGAATGGCAAAACCCTTCATGGTCTGCCTTTACCTTCCTGACTCCCTCCTACCTCAATTCACTCCTGCACACCTATCTTCACTGCTCCTGGGACTTGGCCTCAATAGATAATATGCTGACTAACTTCCCTGGTCACTTCTATTCCCTGCTAACATCTCACCTTTGCAATGATGCCTATGGCACTCTTCACTATTGCATCTTGACCCCACCTCTTTTTTCTGGCACTTCTGGTCTCTCTATGTTGCTCTAAATGTTCTTTGCTAGAAGATATAACATAATTTAGCATAGCACAAACTGACCTACTATTACTTTTATTTTTTGCCATTTCTCTTCTCACTAGCATCCAAACCTCAAGGCTCTCTGTCATTCTTTGCACAGATATATCTCAAGCACCCTCATAATGTTGGAGGCCAGAAAGTGCCCACATGTTTGCTGAATTGAATTGGATTGAGTTGAACCAAATTGAATTAAACTGAAGTTTGTGGAACAAGGATAGACAGCCACTGAAAAAAATTTAAAAAGAACCAACCAGAGAGCTTGGTAATTAAAAATGATAAAGATTGAAATTTCAGAAAATGCTATAGAAGGATTGAGCAGAGGGGACAGCAATGAAAACGTAATCATGAGCTAAGAGTGTACCCATAAATTTTTCCAAAATGTAGCACAAAAATTGTTTTTAAAAATGAAAGAACAGAAATATTCTTAGGAAAAATTAGATGACATCTGGTGAAATATTGACATGATGTCTAGGAGTTCCAATAGTGAATGAATAGGAATTACAAAAGGAAAATAAGGGAGAGAATGTACTTGAAGAAACAATGTCCAAGAATATCTCGAAATTTAAGAAAGACAAGCATCCTCAGCTAGTGAGGGCCAGAATATCTCTACAATAAATCAAAAAAAAAAAAAAATCAGCCGGGCCTCGTAGCCCATGCCTGTAATCCCAGCTACTTGGAAGGCTGAGGCGGAAGGTTCACCGGAGCCCAGCAGGTCGAGGCTGCGGTGGCCGGGAGCGGCCACTGCACTCCAGTCTGGGCGACAGAGTGAGACTCCAACTCAAAAAAAAAAAAATTAAAGAAAAATCTATTGCATGCACACAACTCAAAAGGATCTGGTAATAAATATTCTTAGGAAAAAGAGAATATATCTTTTTAAGTCTGAAATTAGACTTTCTACCCGATAAGCTTCTAAAAGAGTAAAGTGGCTTTTTAAAACATTATTTTTTCTGATACACAGTTTGAAATTTTTTTTTTTTTTTTGAGTTGGAGTCTCACTCTGTCGCCCAGACTGGAG